CTTTTTTAGTCTAGTCAGTAGACTCTCAGTCACCCAGATCATGACCATACAACTGGTGCCAGTAGCTAGTTCTGTTATGTGGTTAGCATACTTCAGCAAAAATAAAAGACAGAAAGTAAAATGTCAGTTGGGAAAAAAGTGCTGAAAGCAACTAGAACACAATTACGAAGCAATTAAGAAATAAGGTTCTATCTTTATTTCTTGTAAAATGCTAGTCTTTTCATAGTAGGACGCATTCGTCAATCAGGAAAATCCCTTTCCTCTGAAAAGAATGCAAGCGTAATTTAAACAATCAAAGCTGGCTCTGATGGTCTGTATCAGCTATGATCCAGCTTCAGCTGGCTGCACCATTTACTTGGGGGATAAGTAGGTGATCATTTGCAGACTTATTTGGGGGAAAAGGTCTGCCAATATCTATCAGCATTTCCTGAAATTCTTGGCAGCTTCCCAAAGAGAGTGTCAGTTTCATTGTGCTAGCTAGCAGATCTTCTATACTGCTTGGCAGTACGTTACTAACCTGCCACAGTCAGAAGCAACATTAGCAAAATAAATTGCACTGTAACTATGGCATTGCACTATTTGCAGACACACAAACCAACAGGTATGTGTCCTCGCACGTGGAGATCATTTTGGACTACATTGCATTTCCTGAAGACAATGGGAAGTTTGAGGACTGGTTTGTATTCTATGACCACCATGTGAAGGCTGTCTTAAATTGTAACATGAGACAGTGGTTACTGTTATGTACTGAAGTTTTCACCCTGGGCCAGCAGGGGGATACTGTAGATAGTTTTCACTCAGGTCCACATACGCAAATAAGGGACTGAAAGTGACGTTCAGTGATTGGATAGTTACAGAAAGTGGTTACTGTTGCATTGTGGTGGAGCTCTATATAAGCAGGCTGGCTAAACCATTCAGTTCAGTTCTGTTCTGGCCTGTGAATAAACAAGAGATGTTTGAAGAATTGCTGTGTCGTCTGATATGTTCACACACAACAGTTACCATGTGGTTAGTCTTTTGTGCAAAGCCACTCGTGGATTTTATTACACTTGCCAAACATTCAAAACCAAATGTTTGCCATGGTGTAGTGATCCAGGGAGGCATATATTGGAAGGAAATCTGCAAGTGCAAGCATTTGTGTTCGCCTGATAGCATGATCTCTTTTCCCCACCCCTCCCTGCCGTCCCATGGGTTCACCCACTCACCCACCCTGAGCCAATTTATGGGGCAGGGGGACACGCAGCGTGAGGAGATGGGGTGAAAGCCAAGCTGCACCAGTGGAAGTCCTTGCATAGGTTTCTGCCAGTGAGGCTCACTAGCTGAATCCTGCCCTTTATATTGTGGTTTTATTGAAATGACCTCAGTGCAGGAGCAGGGTGGAGTACCTACAGTGAAGCCTACCAGAGTAACTTTAATAACAATTATATTAATGTCTGAGGATATGTGTGTGTGTGTCTGTCAAAGGACTTGTAGCTGCAGCTGCTACGTTTCATTCCTAATATCGCTAAATATTATTACTATTATTATACATTAATTTATACACCACTTACTTGCCAATAAGGCTGAGAAAGACTGCTGTTGGAAACTCTAGAGAGCTGCTTGCCAGTCTATAAAGTCACAGAATAGAATCATATCTTGGGAGGAACCTCAAAGGTTATCTAGCCCAATTCCCTGACACTCCAGGAAATCTGTAGCAGGAGCATCCAAAATGGCAACCTGATAAGTGACCGTCTAACAAAAGTCTACCATTTCTAAGCTAACAAGTCTGTTTCACTGTCAAACAGTTCATCCCGTAACAAAGTCCTTCCAAATGTTCAGTAGAAATCCCCTTTCTTGTAATCTGAACAAGCTGAGTCCCTTTCAGGGGAAAAGGTGGGGTATAATCATCATCTTCACCACCAGCACCAACATTCTATCCCCTGGAGCAACAGCTGGAACAGTACCAGGACCTAGCCTCTTTACTGGGATGGAAATCACTTTGGGACCTCTGGTGGAAAGTAGTATACAGTGGTACCTCGGGTTACAGACGCTCCAGTTTACAGACTCCACTAACCCAGAAATAGTACCTCGGGTTAAGAACTTTGCTTCAGGATGAGAACAGAAATCGTGCGGTGGCAGCGCGGCAGCAGCGGAAGGCCCCATTAGCTAAAGTGGCACCTCAGGTTAAGAACAGTTTCAGGTTAAGAACGGACTTCCAGAAGGAATTAAGTTCTTAACCCGAGGTACCACTGTATAAACTTAAAGAAAGAAAGAAACAGATTAGGATCCTGTGAATCTTTGGGTGGCTCAACTCTACCACACCATTTTTGAGGTCCTATTCAGGCTGCTGCTGCTGGTAGTCTCCCACCTACCCACTCAAGCAGAGGTTTATATCACAACAGAGCCCCCCCCCATCAGCGGTGCTCTTCTCCCCTGACAGAGAGAGGGCCAAGCTTCATTCTCCTGCTATCTCAGCGATCAACAATGTGGGTTGCAGTCTTAATGTTTTTTTTTTTACTAGGGACAAAAAGATTGAAAATGGCAGGTGGTGATATTAGCAATGAGAGTAATAAAAATTGTTTGCAAATTCCCTAGGAATTGTGTGGGTGATGGCTATGTATTATATTAGACAGCACCCCATATTTCTTACAGATATATTAAAAAGTTACCAAATGGTCCAAATTCTCCAAATGAGGAAGGCACTGAAGACTCCTGCTGCCTAATGGCCTTAAAACAAGTGTGACAGTACAGGCTGCATTCAGATTGCAATTCAATATAGCCAGCAACCATGAAATGTATACATTTTCACATATAGAAGCAAGTTGATAGTATATAGAATAAAGGTCAATGGAATCAGACACAAGGAATCATTGGACGTGTTCAGAAACTAAGCTACCAGATATCAAAGTGTGAACTAAGACTTGCTGCAAGGGAAAATCTGGCCTAGTTTTTCACAAAACAACTCCAAGTCAAATATATCCAGGATTCTGCAAAAAAAGTAATACTTTAAATCAGTTTGGATTGAATGTGCTGGTAGAAGAGGCAAATCAGAAACCTCTAGAGTATTTTTTCTCTGAATCTTCCTTTCTCCTTTTAAAGCTTCTTAAGTCCCTCTTAGAATTGATGCTTCCCGGTGAGATTAAAGGCAGCATTCACAAATGTTCTAAATGTACAGGGGGTTTCCTATGGCATTTAAAATAGAACATTTTATTTATCCTAGTCCTAATTCTTAAAAGTTAGGACTCATTGAGCTGGTCCTTGGTTTTTCCTTTTCATAAAGCTTCCGTGCATTCAGGGTTTCATTGTATTGCTTTCATATTTCAGTATCTATTCATAAGAGACTGTATTATTTAGTTAGAAATGCAATGGAAACTTTTTAAATTAAGAGTTCTAAAGCAACAACAGCAAAACAACAAATTGCACTGTTGGATCCTTGAGCATGAAATGTCTCAAGCACGTAGAGAGACCTTTGGCTCACCCTGACACGTTCCTGGATTGTGTGTATGTCAGGTTGTCTGAATCCCCCTCAAGTGAGAAGCAATCAAATGATAAATATGCATATAACATGTACATGATGTTCTAACACTCCTTCTCCCCTAGGCCACAATTTCAGCAGGGAATACCTAGTGGTGAGCTAAATGGCCGGGGTACCCAATCATGGGGAAATATGTATTTTTATTATTCATGCACCATAGTGCTACAGATGTTCTGTAGAGCTGGCAGTATAACAGGGTCATTAGCATTGCCATCATCATCATGGAAATGGTGCCACAACAGGGAATACCATATTAACCTTCTTTGGATCCCTCCTTACATTGCAATTGCTTTACACTGAGATCATCTCTATGGCAGAGATGGGAAAAATGTAGCCCTCCAGATGTACATGATCATCCCTGGCCATTGGAGGACCACAGGTTTCCATCCCTGCTCTATGGATTGTCTCATTGGTAGGAAAAATGGTCAGCAGTATATTATATGCAACAACACAAAGTCATTCCTTCTCAAACCTGGAAACTTTAGCTAGTGTTTGGGAACAACAAACCCATTGTGGCAGAGCTCCAGTGATTCCAGAGACTCAGCTACACAGCTGCAAATAAATCATTTTAAGTGTGTTTTAAGTGCAATATACAATGTGACACTAGATGGCGAGGATGAGCCTTATGGAAAATTCAATGTGTTTAAAAATAATAATTCAGAACGGGTTTTTATATGTGTGTAGATTCCATACCAGATGGGCATGGCTAACACAATTTGGAAAAATCAAACAAGAGACCATAAGGGGATCTACAGCTGCCAATGGTGAAACATTCCTGTTTTGTTTCTGATGAAATATGAAATTGGATGCAGTTCAGATCTCATCTAACATTTGAGATGTTTTTGTCATGCAACAGTAGCTATCGTTCATGTTTGTTCATGTTCAATTTGTATGTAGCCTTAAACTGTTCACTTATAAATCACCATCCATACATTTTTAATGGTTTTTTTGGCAGGGGTTCTTATGACCACAGAGAAAATCTTGACATGACTTGTGTCTATGCAATAAATCTGTTTTGTTTTTTTAACAAGGAAAACAAGTAGCCGCCCAACAGCCCCAGCCAGCATAATGGGAGTTGTAGTCTAAAACATCTGGGCTTTAGTTATAAAGGCTGGGACTCTGTGAACTGCCCAATAGATTCCAAACCGTCAGGAGCATAACTCTGTTCTGACTTGTTCTACTAATAAACCACCAGGGGGGTGGACAGATAGCAAGGAGGTGGGCTTCATTTGCAGGAAGCAGGTACACAGTTTAAATTCTTACAACAGAAGAACAGGATTAAAAAAAATAATCAATGAAGACATGACACAGTTCAGCTTCTACCAGTTGAACTTAATTCAAACATTTCCTCACATATGAAATGTTATTCAAGTATAATGAACAGCTGTAAAGCTATTACACTAAAAGAGGAATCGAGGACAGTGGGGGCTTCATAATTCTTGCTACCATTTTTTTTTTATTCCTTTCTCCTCTCTTTTTTTTTTTTAAATTGTATAGGTCGGATACTATTTCAAAAACTTACTTTGCCATTTTTATCATTACACAGAAATACACACACATGCTGATTTAGATCCTCTATACCCTTACATGGTTTTTCTTCACCGCTATCACATTTCACAAAACCTATTATCCTATGAGAAAAAGCATTCATCTAGTCATGGAATCAGAATGAAAAGCCAGAATTTCAATCACTGCCATAGATTCTCCGACACATGAAGGTCAGTGAATTTTTCTGTCTCATCTGTAAAACAGAGATAATTAATATTTCTTTTCATCTGGCCTTCATGTGTCCTACTTAAGGGAAGAAGGTTAACCCTTTTTGCAATACAGAAGATCAGTTGCTGAGCTGCCAAGGTCCATACCATTTCAAATGCTCCCTTAGTGGCTGTTCCAAAGTGTATTCTTTCTTGTCATTGTCTAAACTTTGCCTAGTACAGTGGTACCTCGGGTTATAGACGTTTTGGGTTACAGATGCTTCAGGTTACAAACTCTGCTAACCAGGAAGTGGTTGCTTCAGGTTAAGAACTTTGCCCCAGGATAAGAATGGAAATTGTGCACCAGCAGGAGGCCCCATTGCAAAAGTATGCCTCAGGTTAAGAACCGTTTCAGATTAAGAACGGACCTCTGGAACGAATTAAGTTCTTAACCTGAGGTACCACTGTACTCTGTACTCCTATTCTGCCCCTGCCCCCCCCCCCTCCGGTAGAATAGTATATATTGTAGCAAAATCTGGTTAGCTAGTGTGGAACCTGGAAACCTTATCAGAATCCAAACAACTTCAAATGCCCATTTAAAAAAGTGTTAGACACAGCGAGCATGGAAAATGTGCACTTCTGGAAATGTAAGGATGCTTTTTCCATTCAAATGTAGAGTACAGCAAACAGCCCTTGATGAAAAATTAACCCAACAATGTAGATTAGCTGGAGGCAAAACTCAACAAGACCACTTAATGGACCCAGGGTTATCTTTTCTCATATAACCTAATTCACAGGGTGGAGATTCTCTACAGATACTCTCACTTAATTCTTAGTCAGTCTCACTGTCTATATTTCAATGAGCACTGATAAAGTAATGGTTGATGTAAGAGCAAAACTGTCCAACTCTGTTAAGAGTTTTGTTGTTGATTGTATTGTACTATTTCTAACATGTAAACTTCTCAATAAAAAGGCTACACATAAAAAACCCTCTCCAGTTCCAATGGACATGGAGTTTGAAAAATATGAGTGCTTTTTACACCTCATGGAACTAACTTCAGCTTTTAGGGGCTCAGACAAGAACTCATTCCAAAGCCTTTATGTCATTTTTATCACCCACGTTCCACTCTTGCCTCTCTTTCCACTGTCTCAGTCACAACTATATTTTCAAATTCTGCAGATTAAAGTTACCTCACAGCTGCCTGGCTGTAAAATTACCTTTACTCCACAAGTAGGTCCCAGTGAGTTCAATGGGACTCAACCCAAAGTAGGTTTGAATAGGATTGCAGACTTGGTTCTACACAGCCCATGCAATAGAGAACTGTAGCTGCAATATACTGTAGATATCGAAATGCTTTTCAAATGCCAAGTCTTCTTTTTCAAGCCTCAAAGCAAACAATCAGCCTAAAGGCTGGAAATGAAATAGAAACAGAAGTTCGTGAAAGTGGATGGGGGGAGGGGATGAACCTGGGTATGAATACTATAGTAAGGGAAATGGGAATGAAACATTTCTATTTTTAGCAAGACAGATTCAAAAGGAATTTCCCAGCTGAAAGGAAAACATCATGTTGAATTTTCCTTCCAGGGATTTCCCAGTGAATATGGTAGAGTGCTTAATGCTGCCAGTAACTATTCTGGCCTAGAAATTCAAAGCTTGTGGGAAGGGATATTTTTTTAAAAAAAATATCCTAAATATCAGAGTTTTCCACAGCATCAGATTACCTTGCAGCGTTGGCAGCCACTCCCCAAACCATATAAAAGATTTGCATGTACGAGTAAGAAATGAAATAAATAAATTTCAAATCCCAGTTCTACGTCATCATTTTATTGAGCAAGGAAAAGAGATCAGGCAAGGTTAACCTCACAGCTGTGAGTGACAAAGACGAAACAAATGCCATTTAACACAACATTTTTAGAGCAGAATTGGATCATTAAAAGAATATGCCTAACTAGCCCAGGGTTGCTGCTGTGCAGCCCAAATCTTAAGCATGCATTCTCTGAACTAAGTACAACTAAGTTCAGTGAGAGTTACTCCTAGGTAAGTGTGCACAGAATCACAGCACAATCCTAGGCATGCCCACTCCAAAATATCATTGATTTCAACAATGATTACTCTTAGGTAAGCAAGCACAGGGTGGCAACTTTAAGGTTGAGCCCAATGGTATGCAAAAGCAGAAGACTTTTGCTCATGCATTGGGTCTCCTCCTTTATTTCCTCCCCACTGCAGTGTCCTGTGTACCTAAAAAATTTGACCCAGAGGATTGGGGCACCATCTTTACCATTTGCTAAAGAACCACCACAATAATAACATTAGAAGAGTCGGGTTTGTATTAACAGATCAAAGAAGGTCTTCAGGACTAGAATGTAAGGGGAAAACCAAAACTTAGAAATGTTCTGCAAGAGAAAACAAACCAGACAGGGCAGGGGTCAATTTAGCCACGAGCTGTGTAAAGGCCTGCTACAGACATGATAGACAAGCATGAAATTGGAGAGGAAACTGAGCTTGTCGGCAACACAAGGGTCAACTTTTTATTAAAATAAAGTGTTTTGGACTCTTTGGCTATGAGAGACTAGGAGCTGAGATGTCTGCTCTCTTGCACTGCTGTTATTTTTCAGCAGTCCCAAAATGTAGCAGAGCAGAGTTACTTGGAACTGCAAACGAATCCTATGCATGTTTACTTAGATGGAAATTCACAACATTTTTCAGTGGAGGCAGGCATGGCAGTGCGTGCAGCTTACATTATTTTCCCATTAAACCTGGGGTGGAGAATCTGTGGCTCTGCAGATGTTGCGGGACTCCAACTTCCATCAGCCCCAGCCATCATCCAAAGTTCTAGGATGACGGGAGTTGTAGTTCAGCAACATCTAGAAAAGCTTTGGTTTTCTCAGCCTTGTGTTAAACAAAGAGTAATGAGGTGAGGCAGAATAACATTCCATAAACCGACTTTTTCCAGCCTAGTGCTCTCCAGAAGTTTTGATCTACAACTCCTATTATCCCCAGGCAGTAAATGCTGGCTGGTATAGATAAGAGTTGTAGACCAAAACGTATGGTAAAGGCTGTGCTCGATTTAGGCAAGTTTCACCTGTTACCTTTCCTAAAGACAAATACAGCAGCAATCAGTTCTTCACAATTTTCTTCTTAAGCGGAGCAAGCCTACCAATTGGGGGAATTAAACAGGTTTTCCTCCTATTGACATTTTGATGAGTCAGACTGTGTTCCTGACCAATCGTATGAGATAAATGCCATAAGACCAAAGGCAAGGGATAGCAGAACATTTCAAGAAAATTTATCTCACAACACAAAGGGCACTGAAATAAAAAAAAGATATGCTGACACATCTCTTTATTGCTGCATTATGGGGAGAAATCATTTAGTTCATCTCCACTGTTACTTTCAGTCTTCTTTTTGTCTCTATTGATTTTTTTTATTAACAATCCAGGTTCTAATGGCTTTCATTCTTATGAAAGACACTTCTTATTATTTCTTCAAAATAAAAGGCCTTATACCACAAAAATGTAGGACTTCCTTCAACATTTTATTTCTAGGGATGCCCTCCAAGTGAAAAGCAGAATGATTAAGAAAAGCACCAGGCATCTTTTGTGCTTGTACTTAATGTGGAATATAACAAAGCTCTGGTATGGGCTTCTGAAATACAGGTTCTTGACAAAGACGGATGGAACTGTGATAGTTTAGGAGGGGAAAGTGTTCACTTTGTAATAGCACTTCAGTTAATAGAACTTGCTATATGACAGTATTATTATTATATTTTGGAATTTTTATTTTGGGTCAACACAGCCTTTACTCGCCCCCATGTGTGATGTCCCTTAGGCTGAAACACAAACTTACCTGAGTGTAAGCCCCACTGAATTCAATAAGGCTTACTACAAAGCAGACATGCTTGAAATTATGCTGTTCATGAAAAAATTATGAAAATAATTATCAGAAAGAAGGGACAGAGATTTACTAGTGCAATCCTTCTATTCCCGATCTGCTTGAAAGCTATACATGTTATTTATTATCAATCAATCAATACGCAATTGCATCATAACAAAAATAGTCATAAGCAATAAATAAAATGTGACCCTATAAAAATAGCATTTATATTTACCCAGAGCATGCATGCCAACAAAGAGTTGTGAGCGTTCATTTATCTGAAAGGATGGTACTATACTTGAGTACTTTAAGTACAAAACATAAGCATTAGCTATAAAGCACAAGCCTTCCTCTGATTCTGTACTATTTAGGCCATGCAAAGTTAAGTTATTAATGCATATTAACACTCTGCTTTCCTTCATCTCCCACTAAATAAGCACTGAAGATCTATGTTGTAATGAGTTTGGGTTAGACCAAATGGGTTTTTGGGATCCTCTCCAATGCTGTGATTATAGAGCTGCAAGATTGGATTTTGCAGAAGAAGAGACTGATAGCAAAGAAACTAGTTTCATCATGTTACGTAATTAATTCTTAATCGCCAGCAATTCCTTGTGAAGCTTTGTTATGTTAAAATGGAGTTTTAATTGGACAATCAAAGCTGTTCTAATATACAAGGCAGGATGGTGTTGATTAAATAGATGGAGAATTCATAAGAATCAAGCTTCACAGTTTATTAAAAATGGCTGTTGGATAACGAATATGAAATATTTGTCTTTTCCCCTTGCAGTTAAATTTGTGTCTGGAAAATATTAATGAAAAGCAAACAGAGAAGGTGAAGTCTTTGGGTGTATATGAAGAGAATGGAAAATTCTCAGTGAAAATGTTGCTGCATTCTCCAAGGCTCAACTTGAGGCTGGCCCTTTCCTGCTATCCAAATTCCAGTCCAGGTCAGTGCAAGGACAATGCCTATGTCACACTTTTCATTTTTGCAGTACATGGGAGAAAGCAGAACAGAACAAGAAGTAACTGGAACATTGGTCCATTTGCCTCACTGCAGCATGAGGAGGAAAAGGAGAAGGAGCCAGCCACTGGAGTCGCACTGCACTTGGCTCCATGCTTCGCCTCTGTGCTTTTTGGACATTGGAGGGCCAGGCCTCTACCCCAAAATATTGGAGGGGTCCCAAAAGGACTCAGCCCCCAGGAGCTGGCGCCCCTGCCCCATAGATGTCTTATGGCATTTACATGTATCTCCCAGGCTGCTATTTTGAGTATCATGGAGAAAGTTGACTGCAGATATGAGCTAATAGTAGAAAACCTCCAGCTATGTATGAGTGTGGAATATAAAACAGAAACATAATGGGTCAGGTCCATCAATTTAGTTGAACCCCTAAATGCCTCTGATTTCAACAGGAGCTAAGTTCATCAATGATAACTTTTTATATTAATTTCAATGGAACCTAAGTGCAACTAAGTAAGTCTATATTACATCCATATACCAAAAATTGTGCTGGAGTCAAATCTGTATATTTTCAGAAAACAGAAAAAGTATTATTAGTGGAAAAGCAAACATTTAGCTTTCTGTACTCCTCCGTTCTAGCAGACTCTAATTACTATCTTGAGAATACAAAAAAGATCAACAACTAATTTGGAATGGAACACAAAGGAAATTACTTTTGCTGTGCTACTAAGGAAAAATAAAACACTCCTAAGGCAATGTTCATTTTAGGACATAAGAATTCTTTCTGATAAATATTAGTAGAAGGTGCATATAGGTGAAACAGAGAATAAAGTAATAAGTATAGATAAAATTAGTTGCATAACAGAGATCCATTTGCTGAAGTTTAAAAGTTACTGTCCAGGGAATAAGCAAGCTATCATGTTACTTGTATGAAATAGCTTATCAGGACAGGGGTTGGTATGTCGAAATCACAAGAAGAACCTCTGATGGGATAAGCAAATAGTTCACAATTAATCTGAGTGGAACCCTAAGGACTAGCCAAGCATTTGGTTTATTTCCCCCTTTAATGAGGCTCAACAGTGTACTAAACAAGAACTTCCATTTTCCTGGGACACATTTAGTCTCCACAAGCAATTCTTAAGCGCACAGATGAATGAACGAATGAACGGCTACTTCTGGAAAAGCATGTGATGCCGCATCACTGCTGTGCAAACTACAGAGTCCCAAAATGTTTTAAGGACGTTTCTTTTTTGTTATGTGTTGATCATGTTCTTCCGCGAGCCAGCCACAAAAATGACAAGAGTGCAGTCACCACACAGGGATCAACGGAAGGATGCAGTTGGCTCAGCAGTCAACCCCGATAGTCTGATTAAGTGATCTACTATTGCTGAAGTCCTTCGGTGACCTGTCTGCTATTCCTGTGTCTAAGTCATTTGTGAAACAGCCCCAGCATGTGATCCCCTTGATGACGCAGGCATACTAACTGAGAAAGGTAGACACAGGCTTCCTTCTTTGTGTGCTCTTAAAAATACGATCAGCTACGTAGGGTTTCTGTTTTTGTGTTTCGGCGCGGATCCTTAAGGCTGAAATTAGATACAATGCAGCATGACCCAAGCAGGTCCCTACAAAGTAATGGGGGAGAAATTTAATACTCTGTATGGAGCTGGCAAGAGTGAGGAGTGGAGCCTTTCCTTACATGCACCCCTCTCCAAAGGCAGTGGCAGCACTAGATTTATTGATTGATTGATTGATTGACTGATTGATTGTGGGGTGGCACAGTAGAGACAAAATATATTTTTAGGCCAGAAAGAAAGAAAAAATTCAGCAGGCCTGTATCCTGAAGATTTTAATGTTTGATGTTTTACTATTATTTTATATATGCTGTAAGCTGCCCAGAGTGGCTG